CTCTGGGAGATGAAGATGTTATCACTTCACAGGATTATTGTGAGGCTTGAATGAAGTCCTGTCTTTGAAGTTCTTGGCAGAGCCCCTGGCCTGTAGAAGTGTTCAGGCGCTCAGCTGTTACTGTTATCCTCCACCCTAACTGCTCTTCGTCTCTCTGTTCCTGTTGTTGGTTCAGAGTGACTTAGCAGAACTGCTGTTCCTTACTTACTAGGTGATTTTTTTAAAGACTCCAAGAACTTATATTGGAACGGACTTTAGAGGTTTTTAAACGATTCACCTTGACCAATATCAAAGCTACTTTTTACTAAGTGCCGGTCGCACGTGACGTCTAGTTTTTCCCACTCGGTGCAGTCAGGTGTTGCTGAGACTCTGAGATATAAACACACTTCCCTAAGCCCTCCCAGCTAGGAGCGCCATGACTGATACTTGAACTCTGCCCATTCCTGTCCCAAACTTCAGATTTGTCATTATAACAGATTGCTTCCACAACCCCCTGTATAAAATGAAATAAAATAGAATATGAAAAAATAAAAAAAATAAAATGCCTTGACGTATGTTTCTCAGCCAGTAGTTGAACAGGTATTTCCAGTGACTGGGAACCCCCTACTTTGCAAGGTAGCCCATTTCATTGCTGAATAGTCAGGTTAAATACTTCTGTGTTTTGTGCTGAAACCTGATCCCTCTATCTTCTCTCCATTGATTTTTTTTTTTTCTTTAAGAAGTACAGAGAACCAGTCTAACTTCTTTTTTACCTGATAGTCCTTTAAACCTTTAAATATTTGAACGTAACTATTGCTTCTCCCATTGTTCTCCTCTCCCCCGCACGAAGGACGAGTTTCTCCATTCTGGTCCCTTTCGTTTTGGAAATGAACGATAACTACCCATGTTCTAGACACCATGCATACCAAAAGCTCGCCGTCCCAGCTTTACCCCTCTGGACTCAGATCTAGGATGCTTCACCGTCTTGGTAGCCCTGAATAGGGTTAGGTTTTCCTTAAACAGCTGTAGAGGTGCCAATGGAGAGCTTTGATGTTAAGTCAGTCTACCGTGAGTAGTGAGCCTGGCTATTTGTTTCAAAGGTCATTCATTGTTGAATTAAGTATTTATAGAGTACCTGTATGTTAGCTCCCCCCCAGGCCTCCTTATTGGTCTTTCTCCTCCTCAATCTCTCGAGGTCGTGAGCAAGGCTGGGAGAAGGCCCTTTAGATTTGGTTTCTCTCCTCCGTGGTCTCTGCTATTGTTAGGAGGACAATCCTGGTGTTTGAGAGCGCATCAAAGACTTTTGCCTTAATGAAAAAGTTTGGGGAATTTTATTGTTTTCTCGTGAAGATAGGCTACAGAAAAATCTAGAGCATTGGTATACTTTAAAAGCAAATTGAATGTTTATCTTCTTATAGCTATGAAGACTCCTAAGTGTCAAATAATATTTTGTAATCAAATTCCTGACAGCAGCGTTATCCAGGCTTCCCATGCAGTATAGTGGGGTATTAGGAGCAAGGTCAGTGCAGCGGGACTGCCTGGGTTTGAATTCCAGCTTTGCTGCTTCCTGTCAGTGAGACGTTCGTTTCCTCAACTGCTACAGTGGGGTTAATAATAGTTCCTACCTCATAGGGTTGCTGTGAGCATTAAATCAGTTTATCACTACAAAGCACTTTAGAACACTGGCAGGTAATGTATGCTTACAAAATGCTGTTGTCATGGCTGTTTTATCATTTGAGGTAATAGTTTTCATTTCCTCACCCAGAAGAAGAAATAGTCATGACATAAACACATGTTCTTCAGAAGGCAACCCCCATCTTCAGTAAAAGCTACTTTTAAGTTTGGGGAGACACATAACTAAACGTTTTTACTATACTCTACTATTAGAGAACTACCTGGATCCACCTTGTTTTTCATGGAATTTAGTGTCCCCAATCTTTAAGAACTGTTGGAAATGTGTTCTCAAGTCGCTCTTTGTTAGGGTTAGAAGTGCTTTTGTACCGTGATTGCGGGATTCCCGCTACTAAATGTTTAATCGTGCACAGAAATGCGTAGTGATGCCACTTGTCCCCGTTACAGACGCACCCCCTGTCCTGCAGTGGGAGCATCAACCCCACTTGGGTGTCTGTTTCCCAGTTAGACATTCTGGATGGATTGGTCTTAGTGTTCCGGCTTCCTGCTCTCTGAGGAGTTGGAGTGACCAGGGAAACTGATGCTGCTTTTGATATAATGATCTGAGGAGCCCCGAGACTATTTCAGTTATAAACTAGGGGAAGTGGTAAATAACTGAACGCACTTTCTGGTATTGTTGAGAGTAATCTTGGCTTACGATAGCTTTAGCAGTGGGTCTAGCGATTCAAAGAAGACTGTTCATTTACTTTCAATTGAATACATACTGTGGTCATTTTTCACTACAGGGTGTTTAACAGTTGGTTTCATCCTTCCTTTTAAATTGGAGACACTTGTACAGAGGACCCCTTTTTGTGCAATACATTGTAATTTGTTCACTCAGTTGGTTTTATACAGTACCTGTCACTGAAGATTATGTCCATGGTTTATTGAGTACCTGCTATATCTAAAGCATTCTGCCCACACCATAAGTAGGATGAGCAGGACAGTCTCTTTTTCCTGGCAAGGCGGGGGAAAGACAGGAATGTAAATAACTGATTATAATGTAGGATGGAGTAAGACAAGTCTTATAATTGAGGTTCAAGCAGGAGGCCGCATGACCAGATTAGTTATTTTCAGTTAGGAGGCCTGGTTATATTTACCTAAGTGGTGGCATTTGAGCCACCAAGTGGTAGGATTTCAAGAGCTAGAGCAGAAGGCTATAATGTCCGCCAGGTGGAGGGAAGAGTGTGGACAAAGGCCCGGATGTGTGGAAGGTCTGTCCAGGCTGGGCATGGGGTGCCCTAGACCAGGCTGAGAGTAACTCCTTGTAGGGTCTGGAGAGCCTTGCTTTGGAGATAGATCTTTACGATGAAAGGTTTCAGCTGAGGGTGATTGAAGTCAGATTTGAGATGCCGAAAGGCAGCTGTTGATGTGTGCAAGGTGGTTGCAGAGGTCAGAGAGGAGTGCCAGACTGACAGTTGGGCCCATGGTGGCCATTCGGCCGTGGTCTGAGGAGGCCTTGAACCAGTGGTCAGGAATAAAAAGGAAAAGATGCATTTGACTGAACTTTCAAAGGTCCAAGTGGCTTAATGTAGTAACTGGTTTACTCTGGGGGAAAGGAAGCTGGAAAAATTGAAAATGACAGGTTTCTAGGGTAAGTGACCGGAAAAACAACATGCTAATAAGTAAGCTTTGAACATGGGACAAGGACCAGGTTTGAGGGCTGGGCGGGAGACATATAGTAGTGGATTTAGCGACGTGTAATTTTACGGCCTTTACAAGATACCCCCATGAGTATATTCACTAAGCAGTTAGAAATTCTGGCGCAGCAGGTAGGAGTGAGAGACTTGGATCTGGGAGTCAAGCCTTATAAGAAATCTCATAAGAAGACCTAGGGAGGGGAGATCTTTGCCTAGGAGAGTTGAGTGAGAAGACCTGAGGACAGAGGGCTGACACGTGCCTCCTATTTAAGGAGTGAGTGGAAGAAATACTAGAAAGATTAGGGTCCCAGGCGAGAGAGTTCCAGCAGGGATAGGCCGGATCAACACTGGCAGATGCTATAACCGAGAAGAGGCTTTTGAATAGGATAAGAACTCTGACTCTTATAATTGTTTTGTCTTTAAAAATGTTTTATTGTAGACACTTGCAAACCCCATAAAAGTAAGGATAAAGATACGATGACCCACCGTGTTCCCACTGTACAGCTTCAAGTATTATCAATATTAGTCTTCCTTTATCTCCCCACCTCTCTGTGGGAGAAGGGAGATAGGACACCTCAAGGCATCTTCAGACTCATGTCATTTCTCCCACACTTTAGTCTGCACTACTTCATGAGCACAGTTGGTTTTCATAAAACTGTAAGTCATTATCTCACCAAAGTTAAAAAAAAAAAAAGTTAGCTCCTCAGTATCATCTAATAGAAGTTTTAAATTTAAATAATTTAAAGTCCTTGAAAGCCGTATCTGGGATGCCTTTTAATTTCATAGACATTAGATCTCACTCTAAGGGCCCATTTGGGAAATGGACAGAGTGTCTTGAGGAAGAGAATATAATACTCTCTGCAGAAGGGATGCTTCTCCTCCACAGCCCGTGATGGGTTTTGACGGGAGACCATGTTTTACTTTTTGATACACTTATCCCCTGAGAATAGCAATAGAAATCTAAGGTTGGGCTTCCTATCCTTAGATCATATGAATTAAAACATATATCCAATGGCACTGCCACAGTTTTGCCACCTCTGCTGCATGTACCATCCAGTCCCTAATTCTAGAGTATTGGTCCTCAATCGGGACATATGGTCCTCTCTGGAGACGTTTTTGGTTGCCATGGCCTTGCGGAAAAGGGGCTACCAGCATCCAGTGGAAAGAGGGTAGGGATGCCTAGGACAGCCCCCATAGCAAAGGCTTAACCTGCCCAAATACCAACAGTGTAGACGAATAGCATATTCCTGAGCAGAGCCACGCTTTTCAATCTGCTGTTACATCACATGTTTGTGAACCAAGTCACCCTTAAAATATTTTCTCTGTCCTTTGGAGAGAGGTTAATGTCCCTGTAGGTGTTTTTCCTTTGATCACCTGCATCCCCTAAGCAGGGTTTGTCCAGATCTTTGAGCCTGCCAAGCTTCATTCTAGTTTTTGTTTGCCTTGTGTCTTTGGACTAGAGCAGAACATGGAAGTGATTTGGTTTCTTTGGGTAAGAAGTTTAAGGAATGTACTTTCTCAAGACACGTTCAACAGTCTGAACAAAGTTCTCTCTTTGGAAGGAGATAACTTGGGAGGGCTATTGAACAAGTGTGGGGCTTAGTAAATCAAGATATAATGTATATATTTCTTCACCCCGATTTGAAATTGAGCAGTCATTTGTAGTAAATGGGAAACATAAATGAAGTATTTCACCTTCTTTGTTTGCAGGAAATACAATTGGAGCATGCAAAGCAAGCCTTTCTTCAAAGGGACAATGCCAGGACCGGAAAAGTCACAGCCATTGACTTCCGAGACATCATGGTCACCATCCGCCCTCATGTCTTGACACCTTTTGTGGAAGAATGTCTCGTAGCTGTAAGTTGTTTTTTAATTTCTGTTGGAGTATAGTTAATTTACAATGTTGTGTTTGTTTCAGGTGTATAGCAAAGTGAATCAGTTATACATACATCCACTCTTTTTTAGATTCTTTTCCCATATAGGTCATTACAAAGTACTGAATAGAGTTCCCTGTGCTATACAGTAGGTCCTTATTACTTATCTATTTTATATATAGTAGCGTGTATATGTCAATTCCAATCTCCCAGTTTACCCCTCCTCCTGGGTTGTAACTTTGCCGTAATGAAATAGCTTATTCTACCTGGTGTAAGCTCAGTAAATAAGGGATTTTGTAAGAACAAGTCTTACAGATTATGCAGAGTTTCTTCTGTTTAAACTCTAACATTTTTTAATTTTCTTAGTGATATTGCATCCATTACCAAACTTACAGAGAGTGCTTTGCCAGTTTTAGTGGGTAGGTTAACTTGTTACCTGGATGATATGGACTATCTTAAAGAAACGTGTTAACTGGCTTTTTTAAAAAGGAAAAGCAGACATATAATCGCATATTAATTAGGTTTATATTTTGAGGTATGTCAAATGCTGATCTTTGCTTTTACCTGTTCTCCAAGGCAAAGTGGTTTTTCTAAACAAGTAGTGCGCATAGATGTATTTGAGGTGTCAGCAGAACAGGAACTCTAACCCTTGGATTCACTCATTCATTCAGCATGTGTGTGGAGGCGACCCTGGCACATGCAGTGGGTGGAGCCTTGCTGTCCTGTGTCGTGGAGCTTCCCTCCTAGTGGATGTCCAGCCACTCTTCTCCTTCATGGACCCTGAGGGTGTCCTGGAACATTCCGTGGTGGTGGTTCCCAAGCCTTGGTCACGGAGCTTAAGAATCATCAGGGATAGTTATTAAAAGTGCGGATTCTGAGGCCTCTTCCAGGCCTACCCATTCACCGTTCACAGGTGGTAAGGTCCTAGAATCTAATTTCTGAGGCTTCCTAGGTAATTGTGATGATCCCCCAGATTTGGGACCCTTATGCAATGGTAACTCTTCCTTTGTTAATCCCAGGGAGAGGACTTTTTGAGTGTTTTCACCATCGCCTGAGTTTTCCACAATGCTTACCATAAGGAAGAACTCAGGGGAGCTTTTCATTTTTCCTCTTTTTCTTTCTGGTCTCTCTCTTTGGAGATGTGATCTGACAAGGCCTTTTCCACTCCGGCACTGTCTTAATCTCACTCCTTTTCTTGGCCCCCCCTTTGCTATCCCAGCTCTCACATCAGCTCTTTCAAACGAGTAGTAAGTGAAGATTTATGTGGTTGTTACCTTATAAAGAAGTGCTTTCCTAATAAAAATATTTTGCCTTGTTAGGGAAGGCAAGATATTTGAAACCTCAAACGAAAGTTCCATTCATAATGGACATGCTGTTTTCCTTGTCCCCATGAAGAAATATGGTTTCTTACAAATTCTGATTATCAGAATTCTGACCAGTCTTAACCCTCATCAAAGCGTATGACATCTCATAATTTTACCATAATATGCTTGTTTGCTAGAAATCCTACCAATATAAAGTCTGTACTTAATGCTGATTTATTACTACTTATAAGTAACATGACAAATCATGATATTAGTGTTAGATTGACCACTTTTCATAGTATGTTTGTGTTGGTATAATAGAGTTTTGCATGTATAAGTATACACATGTGTGCATGTGTATAATAGAGTTTTGCATGTCTAAGCTTTTAAGGATTGCTCATTAGATGAAATAAACAAACTTATAAAACATTTCCAATTGAAATTTGAACTCTGTAAATTACTACTGGTTCTGTTGTTATAATCCTACACATGTATTTAGTTTTCTAGGACTTTGTGGAGTGTACACGTTCTGGTCATGATTAGTTGCAGTTACTTCTAAAAATCATTTATAGCTTTTTTTTAATGTGAAAGAAAAATGCTTATAAACATTTCTTTCTATACATGCTTTCTTGATTACGTCCAAAACTAGCATTTGATGTACATACTTCTGAATCTTCTTCATTCTATAAATGCTTTGTTTATTTTTCTTCCCCCCCCTCTTATTTTCAACTTATTTGAGGCTGCTGGAGGTACCACGTCCCATCAAGTTAGTTTCTCCTATTTTAATGGATTTAATTCACTCCTTAACAACATGGAACTCATTAGAAAGATCTACAGCACTCTGGCTGGCAACAGGAAAGATGTAGAGGTGACTAAGGGTAAGTGAGAATCTGAATTCTTGCCTGCAACTATCTTGGTGAGTTATTATTAGGGTAAAGAAGGCAACTAGGAGTTTACGTTATAAATTTTTCTGTCCCACTGACACATATTAACCATATGGTACATGTGTGTTCTCCACCCTTAGATCAGACAAAACAATCTTCAGCACATTTTAAATAAACCCAAGACAGTCTTTGAATGAGGGAACCATGTAAAGTTTCTTAAATGTTTTCAAATCTTACTAAAACCTGAGCTAAATTGGCATCCTCTAAAGTGACCTTCAGAAGTACACAAGGAATTCCATAAACTTACACTGCTGACAGTGTGTGTTGATTGACAATCTCTGATCAAGATATCAGCATTTTAATGGGATTTTTTTTTTTTAAACAAAGAATTCCCTTCGGAATTCCACAGCTTCATTAATATTATGTCCTGGGACCTATGCATATTGAGTTTCACATCTCCTTCCTGGTTTTCCCTGACCCGCAATTTGAATGGCTTCCTGTGTCATTTATTCAAAGCCTTTGGATGACACCAAGTTTTCAGAGTCAATATTAGAGAAACTATTCTGTACACTCTT